GCTGCAGACGGGCTAACGTTAGCCCTGGCCGCTGCAGACGGGCTAACGTTAGCCCTGGCCGCTGCAGACGAGCTAACGTTAGCCCTGGCCGCTGCAGACGCTAAAACATCTGGATCATGTTCTCCCTTAGATGCAGAGGTTAGAAAGTTGTGCGTTTGCATAGATTTTAGACCATTTATTTCCTGTTTAGAGAACCTTTATGTTTTAAATGCACTCCACCAAATCACTGTTGGTTAGTTTACATAAGATTAAAGATATAAAACCTGCAAGTTTGACTTAATACTCAAGACCTTAAACCTTTTTATTTCCAAATTCTGCCTTTTTAGATGAGTCTCAAAGGCAACAATATGAGGAATGGCTTGGCGAGACTCAGCAGCTCCTGCAGATGCAGCAGCGGCTCCTTGAAGACCAGATCGCAGCTCATCGCAAGGCTAAGAAGGCTTTATCAGCCAAGCAGCGAACAGCCAAGAAGACAGGCCGGGTGTTTGCTGAAGAGGATGCTGCTCAGCTACGCTACATCAGCGAACAGCAGGGATCAGTCCAGAAACAGCTGGAACAGGTATGCAGGGTTCTACTCTAGGCTACCGTGGGACTAGTCTGATGTGTAACTTGGTTGGACTCAGAGATTCGACTCCTTGTCGTTCGGTTCTCTTCAGATCCGGAAGCAGCAGAAGGATCACACTGAGTTGATCGATGACTACAGGACTAAAAATCAGCAAAGGATCCTGGAGATGCCTCCCAAAAACACACTAGGTCAACCTGTGGGCCCCCCAAAATTCCAGCCGGGCCCGCCCCACCCTGGCCACCTTCCAAACATCCCATCTGGCTGTAGTCCAAGTTCTGTTCCTCCAGGGCCCATGGGTCAGAGGATGCCTCCACAGATTCCATCCACCCTGCTCACCACCCCCTTGGGTCCCCCACTCAACCAGACCCCTCCATCCAACAGGCCTGTCCTCATAGCACCAGTGGCGGGCTTTGCTGCAGGGCCCCAGGGCCCTCTGGGGGGGCCAGGAGCAGCTTCGGGGGACAAAGCCACACCCAAACCTCAGGTAACCAACTGTTTAAAGCTGAGTAAAGGCAGAGAGACGTCATGGATCTGAACCATGAAAAGGGACCTTTAGGGTAGAAAGTCAGTTCAGTTTGCTGGTGAAGATTCAGTCATCCAGGTCAGAGTCCTTCCAAAAAAGGAAAATTAAAAACAATCCACTGGACTTAGTTCCAAATTTCATTTATTTCTATAGCTCCAATTCACATCATGTCATCTCAGGTCACTTTCCAGTTCACCAGATCATCCAGTCAGATTGATTCAAAGTTTTCTA